GAACTATATAAGCAAGCTTATATATTTACTTTAATAATATTTTTATTATAATATTTAATAATATTAAATAGCCGATCAGTAAATATATTAATATTATAATAGATTATTAGATTAGTAAAATTACAAGCTTTTACTTTGTTAAAATCAGACTAAAACTAACTAATCTTATTAGGTTTAATTAAACTACTTAACAGGCTAAAGGGTCCTTAAGGCCCTTAAAGTCTAATAATACTAGTTTAATTACTAATATTATTACTAATTCCTCTTATATTACTATTATTATTATTATTTCTGGGTTAATAACCGGATTCCATATAATATAAATAATAATATATATTATTAAAGTCCTTTAATATATTCTCCTAATATAATTATATAATCTTCTAATTATTAAATATTTAGCTTAATATTATTTAAAATATTATAACATCAAATAGAATAAGACCTTATATTTATTTTACTAAGGATAACTCTATATTATTAAGTCCGCGATAATAAGATTTAACAGGCTTTTAACAAAATAGTATAGTATTATAAAAGTTATTAATAAATGCTTTAATTTAAATTAACAGAACTTCTAAAATAATTAATATATTATTAAAATTATTTTTTTCTTTTTAATAAAGTAATATATTTTCTTGATAAAATAATACATTATCTTAATATAATAATATAAATTTAGTAAATTAATCAAATAATTAATAAATATATTTAAATAGATTAATAAAATTAATTTAGATAATAGTAGAAGCACTTTTTAGGGAATTAATATATGATTTATTAGGATATAAAGTTATTTATTATTTTAGTTTAAAAATAATATCAAAAATTAATTTTATTAGTTAAAGTTCTTTAAAATATTTATTATACTTATTATAACACTTAGAATATTCCTTTTCTATAATCAGACTAATTTAATAATATACTAATTTATAACTAATATTTTATATTAATAAACTTAATAAAGATATATATAAATAACTTCTTAATACTTTAAATAAAGCAATTAAATCTTAGTAATTAAAAGGGTTTAATAATAATTAAAGTTAATAACTATAATTATCCTTTAAAAAAATATTTTATTTAGTAAAATCCTTTACAATATAGCAAATATTAGACTTATTAATTAACTAACTTAAAAGGAATAGATATATTTTTATTAATATTAAAAACAGGTAAGTACAAGCGATATATTAAACTCTTTTAATAAGCTTATTGCTTAATAACTTAATCTAAGAATAATTTAAATATTTATAATATTAATTTAATTAATAATTAAATTTACTAAAGCAAGTTAATATTAGTCCCTAATAAAATAATTAAGTATTAAGATAATAAAATACTAAGGTAATAAAGTATTAAGATAATAAGGTATTAAAATAATAAAGTAATATTTAAGGTATTAAAATAATAAAGTAATATTTAAGGTATTAAAATAATAAAGTAATATTTAAGGTATTAAAATAATAAGGAAGCAAAATAATAAAATAATAAAATAATAAAGTACCTTAATAAATAAGAATAAAATGACCAATTATTATAAAACAGGTAAGATAATTAAAAAACCTTAAAATACAAATAAGAATTAACACGATTATCAGAGAGAAATAGCTATAACTTAATATAATAAAGTTATAAATAATTAAGATAAAAATAGCAAGAAATAGCTATTCTAAATTAATTATTAACAAATTTTAATAATAAAAAACATTAAGTTAAAGATAAAAGCAGCTTATTAAAACAGAATTTTAGTTAGACAGTTAAAAGACAGCAATTGGATAAATTAAATTAATAATTTAAATAAATAAAATAATAATTAAAACGCTCAAAGGATAAACCCGCTGCTTATACGGAATCCTATAGAGATTATAAAAAGAATATACTACAAAATATAATATTAAATATGTGAAATGGGCTTATCAAGATAATTATTTATTAATATACTATGGTTGATGATTAGACTTCATCAGAGCCCACAAATGGGCCTAACTCTTGGGCCCATGGCCCAACCCACTGTGGGCTGATGGCCTAGATTTCAGGCCCAAGCCCAACCATCAGGCCCACGATGGGCCCCTAATGGGCCCCTGTAAAAGCCTAATTTTATATAAAATCTTGGTTTTTGTATTTATAAAGCTGCTAAATAATTAAGATAAAATATTATTTTTTATATCTGTTTTAGTTTTTTAACTGAACTTTTTTATAACCTTGTTTAAAGTAGTAGGAAATTTTAGGAAATTTTTTTCGAATTAAAAAAAGTAAAGCTTATTTTAAGTTATTTATTTATAAAAATCTTATATTCTGATTGCTATAGTAGTATACAGGTGGTTTATAAATAAAGTTAATATAAATTTATTTAAATATATATTTTGAATATAAAAGAGTGTGTGTATTTTCTTAATAAAAGAAAAAATAAAAAAGAAATTATTTTTACTTATTCTAATTTATTTATTTTTTATATAAAATAAAAGCTTATTTTCTCTATTTTAGAATTCTAATTATAAATAACAGTATAAAGAAGTAAATTTGAAGGAATTTAGCTTTTTATATTAGTATTTTATTTATATATCTAACCAGATGAAAATATTTTAAGGGTATCTAAAACTAAATTAGGCTGGGAATAGGCTATTAGTAGGCTGTTCGTGGGCTTTTATGGGCTATTTGTGGGCTTTCGTGGGCTATTTGTGGGCTTTTGTGGGCTCTTTGTGGGGTTTCCTGGGCTATTTATGGGCCCTGATGGGCTTTGTTGGGCCTTGTTAGGCCTTATTAGGCTAAATACACTTTATTTATGATATATAGGCTTATTTGTGTGACTTATTATTAATAGCTAAGTAAATTAAATTATTAAAACTCCTTCTTCTAGTTATATATTTATCTTTTTTACCTTTCTTTTTTTCTTTATTTATATATTATATATTTACTTTATTATATTCTAAAGCTAGCAATCTAACTTTATATTATTTTTTTATAATACAGAGATAAATAATCTAATATTTCTGATTTTTTTAAATTATATAACTATTTTATCTGGCAACCAGTATTTATTTAATATCTTTAATCTTTTAGTGTCTTTATTTATTTAATTAACTATTTTTTTTATAATTCTATTCTTTCTTGAACGCGTCGGGCCTGATTAAAAAAAGATGTATATATTTTATAATAAAATAACTGTCAATTGGGGTCACCTGACATCACCTGATTCATCAGAATCACCTGATCTCGCCCCACAACCGAAATTATTCAAAATTCACTACGACTTTATTCTCACTTTATTGAACTCTCACTTCTACCACCAAATTATATGGGAAAAGTGAGGTAAAACTGAGCTTAATGTGAGCAGAAAATAAAAAAAAAAATTTCTGAAGAATTTTTTATTTTGGACTAGCTTATCTTCTTAATTAGGAAATCACCAGTTACTAGAATCCTATAGAAGTTAGAAAACACAATTTAATAAATTTCTTATTTAAGAAATTAAAAGTTTATTTTAACTACTATGATCAATAGCTTTGTTTAGATGACCAATATAAAGGGTCCAGAATGTCTTGCCTATTTATTTTATAAGCTATAAAGTAAATATTACTACCCTAGTTATTCTGATATTATTTAAATAATTTTATTATAATTTATGTATTAAATCTTGATTGTTCTAATTATTCTAATTATAAAATCTTGATTATTTAATTATTTAAATAATTAAATATTAATCTAATAATAATCTATAAGGTTAATCTTAAAGGCCTAGATTAATAATATAACTTATAAATAAAAGCCTAGAAGGATCTGATGATTTTATATTTGTAATATTTATTTAGGGCCAGATTAAATTAGCCCTAATTTAATTATTTATAAATATGCAGTTAATAACCTGTATTAATTCATTCTTTTTATTAAGTTAATTTACCCACTTAATTCATTCAATTAAATTTTATTTATTTATTTAATTAATTTCACCTATCTACATGCATAGCGAATAGTAGAATCTCTGGTTTATTTATTTCAGATTTAGATAGTCCAGGTGAACTATTTACTTTATCTGACTAATTAATTTCTTTATTTTATCTAGCTATTTAAAATTTCTATTCAACCCACGTAACCTACCTATCCCATCTGACAGTTATGAGCTCGGTCTAGCCCTTTATTCCTACTATTTATACATACACGTGAATCAATTATTTACCTGTTTAATTAAATTCACATATATTTAATTAAATTCACACCTACACCTGAATTAATCATTTGTTTGTTTAATTAAATTTAACCCACACGTGAATTAATTATTTAATTACTCACTATTACAGTAAACTATTTACTATATATTTAATTAAATTCATACTTATACCTAAATTAATTATTTATTTATTTAATTAAATTTAACCTATACATAAATTAATTATTTGATTACTCACTACTGCAGTGAACTATTTACTATTTATATTAATTTAATTTATTTAACCCGTGTACTTACTTCAAGTGTTTTATTTCACCTGTCTGAAGTGTTTAATTAATTTGAATTATTTTATTGATTTATTAATTAAATTCACACACACGCGAATTAATTAATTACTTGTCTATTCACTATTATAGTAAATTACTTACATGTCTGATTCAATTAACCCCTACTTACCTAGTTTATTTTCACTTTATTAAACTTTTACTTTTACTATTAATTTATATGGTAAAAGTAAGGTGAAACAAAGGTTAAACAATTTAAATTATTTTATTAATTATTTAAGCTTATTAATATAGATATAAAGCTTAATTTTCAATTAAACCAGTCACATGACTGGATACACTGGTTCAACACAATTAAAACAATTACTAAAAACAAACATGTTTAAAAATTCATTAATCCTAATCACATAATTATACCTGATTAACCTGTACAGCCTAGTCACCCGGAACCATGTGACCTTAATAAAAATACTAGATCAATTATTAATCTAACCTAAAACAATCAAGCGCTTTATTAAGACCTTTTACATAATTATAAATTAATACTTTAAGAATATTATTATATCAATAAGAGTTTAATCCTAATTCTACTCCTAATTAAGAATTTAATATTATCAGCTAATAAGATTTTAATATCTGATAAAAAAATCTTATATTATATACTACGGATCCTTCAAACGAAACTAGCTCCCACTAATAAATCAAGAAAACACGATATTATTAAGTAATATTATATACTTAAAAATCTGTAGAATAAATATTTAATTGATTTATATATTTCACTATAGGAAAACATCTATACCGAAGCGAAATCACTTAAAATAAACGAAATAAATAATCCATACCGAGTTTAATATAACTTTATTAAAGCTATTTATAGATCTTACTTAATATTTATAAATTATTAGAGCATAAAATTAAATAATAAAATTAAATTATATAATAAAATACTGTTATTTTTTAATATAATTAAGCAATTCAGAGATCATGTGAAGATGTTCCTAATATTTAAATATTTAAATTAACCGAGCCGAATTACTTAGGTAATCTTTAAAGAAGATACCTTAGAAAATATCCTAAGCCCTAGGTTTAACCTTAGAACTCCTAAAAAGGAACAAAACTACTCCTGTTAATTAGACTTTAATAAAGGCTACTATAAATTTGATTAATATTTTCATATTAATGATTTATTAAAGAAACCAGAAAATTAGTTATATAATCTTAAGGCTATTTAATAATTTAATAAAGCCTCTAGGAATCCTAAATTTTACATAATACTTGAAGTTATAAAAAATTACTTAAAATTAATAAATCAAATAATAAATTAAAATAATAAATTTTTAACTAATTCAATTGTAATGGCTTCAAATTTAATAGAACTAATTAAAAAACACGCTAGTCCTAATTAGGCGTTTGATACTGCAGCGGATACCTATATCTATAATAATCAATTATTATTTAGTAATTATTATAAATCACCTACATTAATCTCTATAGGGAACACACAGATATTAATTAAAGATTTCAGAATAGTTAATTTAAAACCTTCAAATCCCTATAAAGATAAAACAACATTTAAATTACATTATTATATTTATATTCTATAATTTTATATTAATATTTTATCTGCCTTAAAAATAAGATAATCAGATATTTTCTTTAATTCTAGGGCTATGTGCCTAAAAAGCCCTAATTACCGCCCGATTTATAAAGTCCTCGAAATTACAGGTATTCATTTGATCAAATAAAGTACTAATAATCATATATAATAATCACCTGAATTAACTCCTGAAGATAATTATATTTACTATCTGAATTTATTACTAAATATTAAAGTAAATAAATTAGAGGCCTATTTAGTAAGAAATTTAAATAAACCAGTTATTTCCCATAGAACAGCTAAATTATAATATTTAAGATTAGGGCACCCGAGCTCTGAAGCTCTAAAACATCTTAATTTAGTAGTTAATAAAGTAAAAATTAATAATAAATTAACTAAAACTAAAGATTATTACTTAATTTATTAATTATTAATTTTAAAATATTAAATTTCTCAACTTCTGATTTAATTAGGGACCAAACCATTTAAAACTATTTATTAGGACCTTATTTATTTAAATCAGGGAATCTACTAAAAATAATATATTAGCCATATATATTACCCTTATTCAAAATTCCATATAACTAAAGTAATTTTATTAAAAGATCATGTGAGTAATTTAATTATTAAAATAATTTAATTTATTAAATATTAATATCACGTGACTATCAAACAATTTTATTCAGATTAAAATAGAAATCTAGTTTATTTTTATAATTACATAAGATCTAAAGAAGTAATCTACAGCACTAGCCTAATTAAGTAATTTAAACAAAACCCATTTACAGAATGTTCAGGTGCTCTAATTATATAAAAAATATAAATTTTATTTATTAATTTAGGATTACCGCCATATTTATGGCCAGAATTATTAAATACAGCGATATATATATTAAATTACATCCCTACTTATTCACTAAAGTAGAGTACCCTGCATAAAACCTTATTCAAACATCTTAATCAACCTTTATTATATATAATATTACTGCTAAATCTCTCTAACCTAAAATAGTATAATTACCGAGCCTATACAAGAATTTTGAATATCCCTAGGCTTAATAAGCTTAAACTAAGAGCTCTGATTAGCTATCTGATAGGGTACGTTGCTCTAAATATATAGAGAATATAGATATCTAATTAAAATAAGATTATTTTAGCACGTGATTACATCTTCAATAAAACAAAGGTCTATAAAAATAAACAAAATATTTAAATATTTAAACTAAACCTAATTGGGTTAGAAAACCCCAAACCGCTCAGTTTTAAAGAAATTAATAATTTAATCTTTTTAATTTTGATTAATTTACCTGAAACTACTAAATTAGGGTTTACTAAGGATAAAATTATTAATAATATTTATTCTAAACCTGAACAAGGTAAATCAGAACTATCTAGTAAATATAATCCTATTTATTATAAATCTGAACATGAAAATTAAATTATTAAATTAAATAATTAAAATAATTTAATTTAATTAAATACTTAAAATAATAAGATTTTAAGAGATTAATCTCCTACCCTATATTCTTAATTATCTGAAGTTATTATTAATAAATTACTATTTAATTTTAATAATTATAATAATTTTCATAAATTACTATCTTTAAAAAAAAATAGGTCAGAATTACCTGACCCAGGACTTTTAAAAATATTTTAAAATTTTATATTAGCTTAAATTAGCAATAATAAATTATATTAAAATGATTTGCCTATTAAGCTAACTAATTAAAATAAAATAATAAATTTGCCCTTTCATAATAATTAGCTAAATACATACAAAATTAAATATGATTAATTAACTAAAATAAATACCTGGGAAGCCATTCTTAAAACAGATAATTTAATTTAAAAGATCCTATTATTAAAATAAGTATAGAAATACAAATTTACTAATTAAGGTTAATTATTAAAATTTAAAATAAAAATATGCGTTCGCGGAGATCTTTAACTAATTAATAATCTTGATTCTAGGGTTATTACCCTAGCCACACAAACATTTAGGACTATTATAGCCATAATTACTGCTTTTAACCTTAAAACAGCTTAATAAAATATAGTAAATATATTTCTAAACAGTAAATTAGATAAATTAATTCATATTTTACCACCTCCTGGATTCGGTTAACAAAATAAGGTTTTTAAGCTAAAACAAGCTTTATATAAACTACACTGATCCCTATTATTATAATAACACAAAATAAGGAATACTCTATAAAGATTAGGCCTAAAATCAGTGCCTGAAGATCTTTACCTATTTATAAATAATTATATAATTTTAATAATTTATATGGATAACATTATTCTACTATATAATCAAAATCATTAATTAAAAATCAACGAATTAAAAAATCAAATATTTTCGATATATAATCTAAAGGATTTAGGTAAAATCTACTAATTCCTAAATATAAAGGTTATTCAAAACCAATAAAATTAAACAATTTGGCTTAATTAAGCGGATTATATTAAAAAAATTACTTACTACTTTACATTAGTTAATCAGAATTCACCTAAAATACCTTTACCATCTGGCAATTTAAGCAAATCTATAAGGTAACTGCTTACTAAGCCCTATCATGTGGATTATTAAAAAAAAATTAGCTTAGTTTTATACCCTGCAGTTATTTTTAGGCTAAATATTATAAAGAGTTGCGAAATCCTTGCAGAACACATAGCTAAATCTTATTTAAATTATATAAATATAGTAAATTACCTAATTTTATTTATTTATGGAACCCGATTTAATTTAATTTAATATAATCTTAATTTAATAGATTAATTAAAATTACTACTAATTTTCAAAATAGCTAGCAATGCACCCTATACAGATTTATTACAAAAAAATTATTTAAAGGTTTTATATATTACTTATTCAGCAGACCTATTAATTAGTCAGCTAAAAAGCAAAAAATGATTACCCTATCTATTATTAAAGCAGAATTATTAGCCCTAACTACGGTTAGTAAGCATTCTTTATGGTAGAAACACTTATTTATTATTATAGGGTTCAACCCTAAAGAAAAACTATATATTTATTATAATAATTATCAAATAATTGACCTGCTTACTAAGCCTAATTTAATTTATAAAACTAAATTAAAATATATAAACATTAGTAATCACTAGCTCAGGCAAGAAATCAAGAAGAAATCCATTAAATTAAAATGGATCTCTACTAATTAAATAATTACAGACGGCCTTACTAAATATTTAATTAAATAAGAATATGCAAAATTTACTAAATAACTGAATATAGTTAATATTTAATATCTTATTAAATAATAATTAATTATTTAATATTTACAGTTTTAATTAATACTTTATTAATTTAAACTGAAGGGGTATATTAATTAGGGTTATCTAATATTACCTGATTCATTAGAATCACCTGATCTTACCCTATAACCGAAATTATTCAAAATTCATTATAATTTTATTCTCACTTTATTAAACTCTCACTTCCACCACCAAATTATATAGGAAAAGTGAGGTAAAACTAAGCTTAATGTAAGCGGAAAATAAAAAAGAAAAATTTCTAAAGAATTTCTTATTTTAGACTAGCTTACCTTCCTAATTAGGAAATCACCGGTCGCTAGAATCCTATAAAAGTTAGAAAACATAATTTAATAAATTTCTTATTTAGCAAATTAAAAGTTTATTTTAACTACTGCAATTAATAGCTTTATTCAGATGACTAATACAAAGGGTCCAGAATATCTTACTTATTTATTTTATAAGCCATAAAGTGAATATTGCTACCCTGGTTATTCTAATATTATTTAAATAATTTTATTATGATTTATATGTTAAATCTTGATTATTCTGATTATTCTAATCATGAAATCTTGATTATTTAATTATTTAAATAATTAAATATTAATCTAATAATAATCTATGAGGTTGATCTTGAAGGCCTAGATTAATAATATGACTTATAAATAAAAGTCTAGAAGGATCTGATGATTTTATATTTGTAATATTTGCTTAGAGCTAGATTAAATTAGCCCTAATTTAATTATCTATAAATATGTAGTTAATGACTTGCATTGATTTATTCTTTTTATTAAGTTAATTTATCTATTTAATTTATTTAATTGAATTTTATTCATTCATTTAATCAATTTTACC